GCAATGTTCTTCCGACGTCTGATTTCTTTTTAAAAAATGCATTTCTAAAGTGCATAAACTTTTGGGATTGACTGTATAGCCAATACATCCTTAAATAACATAATAATGCGATCTTCGTTATTAGACGAAATAAATGAATCACTTGTTAATCAGTTACGTGAAGCGAAACGGAATTTTAATTACATTCGGGAAATTCTCTGCCTAGGCTGCATCTCCGAGATGTGGATCAATCACAAGTTGGTAGACTTCAACAACGCGGCAAAGATACATCGCGTCACCCCTGGTTGCGCGTCGAACGAAGAAGAAGCTGACGAGGCGCGAGACGTCGTGGAACCAGAGGGGATTGTGGGTAGCAACGGCAGCAACGAGGAATCGATGCCGCAAGAGAACATGGCTCACGAACATTCCGGTACGCTTAAAAGACTCTCCAATTTACTCGGAAATTTAATATCTTATGCCACGATACTTTGAAAGATAAGCTAATTAAAGCTAATATAATAGTAGAGATATTTATTCTTTCGTTTCAGACATCCTTGTAATTGAGTCCGGCACGATAATTTCCGATCCTTGTGCGGGACACGAGTGCAAAAAGCGTTCGCAGTGCGTGCCATCGCCGATCGGAAACGGATACACGTGTCGGTGTCAAACTGGATGGCAAGGACGGTATTGTGAGAAAGGTACGAATTACTTTGATACAATTAAATTGAATTTTTATACACTAATCATGTTTAAATGTAATTAAAAATTAAATTCTGCACTTAAATAATTTAAGAATTTTTGATTGTTAATACAATAATTATATTCTTTTTGTTGCAGCACCGACGTGTCGCAAGGAGCACACTAGAGAGTATTATAGCGAGAACGGATGTCGGAGTCGACGACCAGTGAAGCTTGCCAAGTGTTGGGGTAGCTGCGGCAACTCCTGCTGCCTGCCACGGAAAACAAAACGACGCAAGGTACGATTTTAATCACGTAAAAGGCCGTTATCTATCAACATTTACTAAGCAGCGCGTTTACAGTAGTAAAGTCTTAATATTTCCTCTCGACAGTAGTATTAGTCTTGTCATAGTCAGACACGTTACAAAGTAACTCGTTCCGATGTATATTTACTGAGGAATAAAGCGTGGCATCTTAGGTTTGAAGAAATTCTTTAAGTATTAATGTTAAATACTAAAAAATTAAGAAAATATTTATCATTTGCTGTTATATTTTTTGTTTGTAATAAAAGAGACATTTTTAATATGAATGGAAAATGGACGTATTGAATCAGAAGGAAACTGATCAACCGTATTTTAGATCTTAAATTATAAAGTGAGATACAGTTTCCGAAAATGTTAATTAAATTAAAAGTTATGCGATATTAATACTAATTAAATTAAAAGTTATGCGAAAATATTGACGAGCGATTATTGATTGATTACAGGTGCGACTGATCTGCGCGGACGGTATAAGGTACACGAAGGACGTCGATCTGGTGCGCAAGTGCACGTGCACCCGGAAATGTTACTAGCCAGGACCGAGGTACGTCGAGCGCCACAGGTGATCCATAAATACGCGTCGAGACGTATCGAGACCGAGAGGAAACCCCCGAGAACCGAGACAGTGTCCCAATTCGAACTTTGTGCGCTCACCGGCGATGTGGCGAGAAACGAGGGTCGCGCATCGAACAGGACGAGGCCGCGCCCTCGTCGCATCCTCGCGTGAAGCGTGACGAATGCCATTGGGGCCAGCGCGGTACTGCCAGGCCGAAAATATTTCCGAAACTAAAGATAACTATGGATATATATATATATATAACAGCCGGCTCAGTGTGATATATTATTCGAACGTGGAAAGAAATAATTATTCTATTGTGCGTACGTGCGGACTTTACGGACTTTTATCGACTTATTAAATATTCGGAAACAGAGAACAGTATCAACGCATACTACGCTAGGTATTATTAATATAATCGACGTATGTTCAACGATTCTGGAAGTGGGAAGCGGTAAATATTACCTACTACGTATATGCATATGGTGCCGAGAACACGCGGATCGCAGACACAAAAACACACGTGTTCGCACACGTTCGCTCAGTGTGAAATAGATCTAATTGGGTGACAAAGAGTATTGGTGGTGGTGCTGGATGGGTGGCTGGTCGTGCGTATAGTTGCAAACAGAATGTAAAAGAATACACGCTTAAACCCTTGCGCAATCTCTCAGAGGTTTCCCTGCATTCGACTGTTTCGAACGAGTGAAACAAGTGGAAATTTTTAACAAATTCAGGGAATCATAACGAGAATAATCCTTGACAGAATAGAGAATCAAGAGTTTTACGGTCTCACGATTTAATTGGATGTAATACAGACGCCATACGATATTTTCTTTAAAAGAATAACTGAATTCTATCTTGTAAAAATTAAAAATTGACGAGGATCGTTTCTGTTATCATCCACTGAATTTGAAATGAAAAAAATAATTGTCTAGAGTACTGTTGTTAAGAACTTCTCACCCCCTTCATTGGATGTTCAATGTCGCCAAGCTTCGGTTTTTCTTGATGTAACAAAAAAAAAGATTCAGCCTGAGAGAACGAGAGAGAGAGTGAGATAGATGAACATTTTCACGTTTCCATGAGATAGTGTAAAGACGAACGCTTCGCTAGCGTGCTCTGAGCTTCGCGCAACTATTTTCCTGACGATTTGTAATTGTAATTTTTAAGCGCGATTCGATCGCAGAGGAAAACAATACAGTGCGCATGGAAAAAAATATTTGCATTAGTGTTATAAAGAATTCTAAGCAATTTCTCTTTAGAGAACGACTTAAACCTGTTTAATCGTGGAACTCGATGGATCGTTAGGTCTATTGTCCCCTGAGTAAACGTTTATAAAAAAGAAGAAACAAGTTCTCGAACGGATAGTTTGCACCGGTAAAAAGAAAATTATATCTGGCAGAAGATATAAACACACGCATACACACGTACACGTATCAAGACAATTGAAAGTTGATCGACAAGCGATTTCCATTTCGTTTAGTTATCGCGTATTTTAATTAATTAATTAATTTATACGATTATAAGACATATTTTCTTTCTAATTCTTTCTACAAATATTTAATCTCTCGATATTTAGTGGAATAATTTAACGCAGCGGAAGAAAGTTTATATTTAAAAGGCGCACGGTCTTTCTTGCCTTTTTCACATACTCGTAATCATTAATAACATCAATTGCAACAAAGAACTATGTTTTATTACAAAAAAAATTGAAAGAAAGGCAAGAAATTACCGAAAGCGGTGTAGGGTCCCCGAGATGGACCGAAAAACGACTCCCCCGAGCCTCGAATTTTTCATTCCACGGCCTAAGGTACTGTCTTCGAGGTTTTTTCATGTGGGGCACCTTTGGAAAGTTCTGTTATTCGTCGAGCTCGCGTAGAAAAACGAATTGTAAATGATTAGGCAGGTGTATAACTAAATGGAACTCGGGGAACAATCTGATCCGGCCGAGGGCAGAGTATAAGGCAAGCAATTATTTTTGTACGAGCGGATTATTTGAACGGAACGAGCGTCGACGATGAGTTTCGTGATTTGTTTTCATCGGGAATGGCGTGATATTTGTTCGGAAATTACTTAAGTATCCCCTCACTACCCTCCCCTCTTAAATGTTTCGCGTAGCTATTTAGAAAACATGTACGAATTACTGCCTTGCATCTTCCACTGCCAGTATTTAAGTATCGAAACGCATATATTTATTTGTCGTCATCATCCGAGACAGATCGGTCTGTCTTCGTCATCGACTGTTCTTCCCGCACTTTCAGACGATTTTTCTGAGATCCGAGAGTCGTCGAGACGCGTGAACCCTTTGCATTTCCACTTTTAAGTTAAAAAGTAACGATTATTCTTTGTATTTTTTTCAATTGAAATAATGCAAGGGGTTGAATCAGTTAGCATAATGCAGGACGGTACGCGCACAGTGTTCAAACTTTTTCCCTGAACCCTTTCGGTACGTGTCGCGTCCGTTCGCAGAATAATATCGATCGCTGCGGTTCTCTTATGTCGCGTTGGATAATTTATTAGTACTTTATCATTACATTAATCTTTATATAATATTTTATAACAAACGGTTTGTAACTAATCTCTGCGTAAGAACCACTTAAGTTAACGTAAACTTATATCTATTTAATGTTACAGACACGAGGCGCGTGTACCGTTTTCTACGTTTATATCGTAACGTCAGTTATTTTGTAGAAAGTGTAAAATGAACGAATATATTTATAAAATAAATATTTATCGAGAAGGTTCTAATCGACAGTCGTAATCGAAATTCGTACCGAAAGGGGATCGACAAAAATCATTCTTTATTATCATTTAGATTATGTTAGCTGGTCGTATGTCATCCGTATAATTTTTTTTATTTTCATCATATTCTTTGTATTAACAATTTCGATATAGGATTTGTATAACCGCGTACGTATTATATTATCTTATTTTATTCTGCTGTGTACTCTTTTAAAATATCGAAGAAAATGAAGAGGACAGAAGAGATACGAGCGTACGGTAATCGTACCACCATTTCATTGCAGCTGACTTATCTTGTACGCGCCGTAGAGAAGAGAAAAATAATAGCTGTAACATCTTAGCGACGTATTTTACGAGTTCATAGTATTAATAGTTAACGTAAGTTGCCTACCGTTAGCGTTACGTTTGGCGACTCGATTCTTTTCTATTTCGTTTGCGCAATCTTTGCGTTCACGGGTACAGAATCACTGGACATTGTTGTTATTGTTAACGCGTCGCTCACCAGTCTTACAAAATGACGAATAATTTTTTTTTAGTAATTAACATTTTATTTTTCTTACTTATTGTCAATTCTGAACAAGTAGATTCTCTGGTTTTAACTTAATCAGGTGAAGGATGGTGAGCAACGTGCTGAATTGAATACTTGTAAATGAAATTGAGGACACGATGAAAAATTTTCAGAATTTTGATGATTATTTTCTAAATAAGGAGAATGTTTGAATCTTCTGTAGCGACGTGCATACGAGCCTGATCACGTACTCCATCTTCAACTTTCAAGAGGCTTAATAAGAAGTCGCGCTTAGTAAAAGATAAAGTAGAGAGTGTTAATTAAAAAAAATGCAATTGATTTCGTTTTGAAGTTCAATAAAAATATGATAGTAAATTTAAGAGAATTGCGAATTTGTTAAATCATGAAATACTTTTTCGAAGACTTACACAAAGAGTAATTAGAGATTGTAAAAAGACAGTTTAAATTAAAATTTAAGTAACTTTTATTGTACATTCCGAATGAGCCGAGCGATTGGTAAGCGAACGATTAGGCGTGTATAAAAATGTTTCGAGAATCATCGAACTTCTGAAAATTGATCTTACTTCTGGAAAAGGAACAAGCACGAGGCTGGAACGAGTCTAGAAACCAGTAACAAATGCTGCCGGTTACGCGAAGGAAGTTGCGAGGGCCGCAGTCATTAATGAATCCCGCATTCGACCAAACATAACGTGCGAGTAATTCTCGTTGTAACGAGATAACGCATCACGCGGTACGTTTTAACGAGGGCGAGAAACGTGAACGTGGTAAGGAAAGGGGGTAATCGGAGAAGAGATGATGATAGGGTGTTTTCTACTGATATGCTTAACGTCTATACTAGACAATAATTGAGACGGGACGGTCGAGTGATTCGTTTTAAGAAAAATTAAAAAAGAAGGAAGAAACGAACGTCACGTGGATAGAGAGAGAGAGAGAGAGAGAGAGAGAAAGAGGAAAAGAGAGAGAGAAGTATTCGAGATCTTGTGATTGCTCGAAATTCCTAACGAGTTATATTTGTATCATTTACTTTGAACGAAGAAACCTTAATATATTTCACGGATCGGTGGATTATAGCGCATGCGACTGAGGTATACCAGTTTTAAGAGTCTTACGCTTAAAGTATAGCAAATGCTTTCGTTCTCGGACCAGTCTGCGAAATGTAACGGTTCCACGGGATGAACGATACGTATTATGCATAATTGGTGACGGCCAGAATATGGTCGCGTCTGTCCGTGGATGCAGCTCGTTTCATTTTTTCGGAAATATGAAAGGGGAACGCGAATAAGGGAAAAAAGGAATAAAGAGAAGCATTTGTTTCGTCGACTCAACTCACTACCTAAATAACTGTAAACTGCGTAATAAATATAATTACTATTGTTCCTTCTCGATATTCTCGTCTGATTGTCATTTTATTTCCTTCATTTCCCGAAACGTACGATGGAACTTCTCACACGAGAGGATCAAACAGAGAAATAGCAAGCCTGAGAATTCGAAGTTACACTCTTGTATAATAGTAAAACAAATGTTTTCAGAAGATGATCAATAAATAGTGCACATTTTATCCTAAATTAAGAGACTGCTATATTTTATGTGTACAGTGTTAGCATGAACAGGAATGTCAATGAAGCAGTTCCTTTTACTTCGCGTGTGCAGTTTCTAATTTTTAACTCATAGCGAAAATGATTTCTCAATTTGAGTAATCCTGATCTCTAGTGATTCTCAATTAAGGCAGAAGCAGAATCGTTTCTCCGTTCGTTTTCATCTAAATTTCGTCCTTGAACCATAATGAATTCCGCAGGAAACTCTGTGATAAATGATTCTGTTCCACGGCGCACGAAGTAAGAGCAAGTGCTTCGCATTGTCCGTATCGATGTAAATTTCCGGGATTCGCGACTCCTCCATCTTTCCAATTAATAGTCTAAACAATCCTTCAACTATTCTCAAACGCAACGCACACACAATTGTATCGAGACTGAACTTCATTCAACTGATAAACTATAATGATGCTCTGTTCATTTTCATCTCTACAACTAAACAATTACCCCCACATTAAAAGTATTCTAAATTAAAGGAACAATTAATCTCTTAATGAATCCTAACGAGAAAAAATTCTTTTTTATTTTACTTCTCTTAACTTCCATTTCATGAAATTAATTTTATTTAATTCCGAAATATCAAAGAATTCTCTAAAAGTTGAGCCAAAGTTTAAGAAAAAAAAACGATGAGGTGGACGAGTTGCGTGTACCGGAGAGAAGACAGAAGAAGCTCGATCACGTGAGCGTAGATACGTAAGAACGTATGAATGAGGAACGTAACACGAGGCTAACTGGTCTGAATGGGCAGCGAGAATATTCGAGCATAAGTGTGTTTAAAGACGCAGCACGTTTCACCGAATAAAAATGAAAAATGGAATACAAATTAAAGGGGGCGATGGAGATGGAGTACTGCATGCCTAGAAGTATTATAGCTCTATACCGTGTCGAATTAGGTACTAGCGTAAAAAATAAAACAAAATGTCTATGTTTATATAATGTAACAAATTCTCGAAGTATGGATGCTATGAAATAAATGTATGCAAGGTTTAACAAAATTATTGTCTATCCTTAATTCATTC